TGTGCCTCACCCTCTTTATTACCTATCAATTGTAATGTTTTATTCAGGAAAGAAAACTATGCTGCATCAAGAAGACGCGCTATGGGTGATAGGTCAGGGCGGAAGGTGAAGGGCCGTGGGACGATGGTATGTGCTTCAAAGTGTGTATACGGCTTTGTGAATGTTTTCAGAATTTTAATCAACTATTTTTCCTTTAAGCGCTATGTCTCACCTGATCAAGGATCCGGTGGGCGAGGTCGAAGCATAACTCCTCCACACTGGCGCCAAGCCAGCCAAAAAATGAATGCGGAGGATTGGCGTCGCTGGCGCGAGAAGCACGAAGATATGCTGCACGAACGTGATAGGTAGGTTATTTGGACTAACTTATTGTCCCGCTTTTCGCTAAAAAGAAGCACTATTAACCCACTGTAACGCCTTTCCTCAGTTGTGTTATTTAGGTTTCGCAAGCGATTTTCAGGTAATATTTTGAAAGATACTACTGAATCTGCTTTCTTATGATTTTAGGTCCAACTATTCCTAGCTGCTTCTCTTGTGTATTTTATATTTATATCCACGTACTTTTACCTTCATTTCTGAGATAGATAAGTTAGAAATAAGAACGTCTGATTAACAGTAGGCCGAATCAAACGTTCATAAAACTTCAGCGTGCTATCATTTCCACAACTCCATTGCCCACAGTTTGAGAAGAAAGTTGAATAACACGTCACTGGATTTCCTTGTGCTTGCTTTTAAAGCGTAGATGCAGTTTACGCATAGCTGTCCTGTAAAACTTTTTTTCTCAGATTTATTTTGATGTAAACGCTTTTTTGGCTGTCGTAAGTCTTGCTTTTTGCGGCGAAAGTTGCAAGTTCGCGAAAAAATAAGTTTTAATTGTTTTGACTCCAGATGATCAGCAATATGAAGAAAGCCCCGCACCACAAGTAAGCTTCCCGTAGTACCGTTTTTTCTGATGTCAATTTACTAGGTAAATTAGTTGTCGTATGCGTAAGCTGCGAAAGGTTTCCTAGAAATCCGCTACCACACGGTCATAATTTCTCAGGACAGCAAAGCGCGTTTTCCTTGTCTTTGCATGCTCTTGCAATTTTTCATTACTCTCCTAAGTGTCAACCGGGAACCGACATATTTTAACCAAGATAATGGCTGGCCTAGTGTTCGAACACTTATCTCGAACGCACGCATTCAACGCTCTCATAGTTTTGTTTATGATTTTAAAAATGGCTCTCACCGTTAGACATTCGATATGCTTCCATGCCGCCTCCGGAAAGCATAGCTTTTAGTTCAGCTTTTACGTGGGCAAGATTTTCCAGTTTCGCGTAATTCTTCTATTCGGCATGGAAATATCTCCAAAGTACATTGTAGCTGATGCCAGCCTTACTTTTACCATAGGTCTCCGCAAAGAAGAAGAATGGATGAATCCCCGCCCAGTTTTGCTGATCGAAGCTGCCGGCGAAAGCCTTCTGGTGATTATTCCCCTCGAAATGCTCGACATTCCCGATCGGAGATATCCCCACCCAACGCGTCACTAAGTTTCGAGACGAGAAATAAAAGTCCACCATCCTCGAAAATGGATGTTAACATGGCTATGGCCGATGTGATATCTCGCAGCCTCTCTTCCCCCTATGGCAACAAAGCCAAGGAAGACGAGCCTGTCAAAAAGTCTGGTGTCCGTTCGTCGGAAGCCTTGTGAGCCGCATTGATATTTTCACGTTATCCCTCAAAATTCCAGCGTTCTGAGTTTAGGGTACAGAACACGTGTCTGTAACGACGTATAGTGGTACTTTGTGTGTAATCTGTGTTTGGAACCTTCATCTCACATTAATCACTATGAACCAGTCAGCTTCATTCTAAATTTCTCTAATCAGGCATGCACAGACCCGTGGACTACGTCCTTTAGGTGTCCTGCCTAACTGACTAAATCTTACTGTTTGTGGTATTGGATTTATTGCTACTTGCTCAGTCTTGTAGATCGATTACATAGGCAGTGATGTTCTTAATAGGCTGTCTTTTGTGTACAGGTTACGTAGGTGCCGCTGGATTTATGAACGAGAGGTCACTAATAATGAACCACAGGAGATATCAAGGTCACAGCAACTACGAACCATAAAAATCGGTGTGTTCCTGAAAAATACACGGGAGAATAGAACGGCCATTCGTAGCTTGCTGTAGCCAGCCATCTACACCCCCTATATTGAAAAATCATTGAGATTTGAACTTCAACCGGTTTGACTATTGAGCAGTATTTAAGTCAATCAGCCTAACATTTGTATTCGGTCACACGAAAGGAGCGTTCATTGACTTATCCTGACGGCTGGATATAGATGTGCATTCTGTTGTCTTGGAACTTCTGGCCTACGACCCTCACAAGTCATATGTAAGCCAAGCCGGATGCCACAGGTAGCACTTTGGAAGAAGTTGGCAAATTCTCACTACCAGTAGTCTCGAAGTGTAACCTTCCGCACGTAACCATTTTCGCATTTTAGTAGTTAATACAATCCCCATAGGTATTATGTTGTAGCTTTTTAGCAAAAGATTGCAAATCACCTAGATTTCTTTGCCTGGGGGTGAAGTTGAACTCTGTTTGTATTATACACAACGTTCTGCTTTACCAGCATGCAGACTTTATAAAAGTTTACATTTAAAGTGGTATGGCTACCCCAACAAAGCGGTTGGTTTAGTCCTACTGTACTTCATAGCAGTAAGGGAACATTTCCACCCTCACAACTTTTTACGATCGGATGAAGACTGTAAATCTTCTCTAAATTTAACGGGAATTTATTCTAACTAATGGAGTGGCCTGCACTAACCATCGACAGGTAGGTACCTATTTCGATCTGCTTGTTTATGATGTGATGTACATTTCAGGGTGACTCGAGTAAGCAACCATTCGACAATGCCTCTCCTAATTTGTCTTCCCTTTTGGTATTAGAGACCGTTTTCTGTTCGCTCCATGCGATTTATCTTAGCATCTCCCGTTTTTTAGCGACGTTCGTGTCG